GCTGTCATGACTGTGATGCTTCCAAAGTTGACATAAACCACAGAGTTAGGTTCTTTAGAGTCAAGCCATTCAAGACACTCTCGTTCTTCTGTCCATAGGTTTGATCCAATGGACTTCAATTTGTCATCTGCTGGGATCTGATTAAGTTGTAGATGTAGGGGTCCAACGGAATAAACAGGTGGTAGCAAAGTCGAAAGTCCATCTAAAACTTCATGATCTAATGCATCAAACGTGTTCAAAATGATGGCAGAAGCTCTTTTAGCTCGTGCTATCTCTACTAATAGATAATCCAGCATGAAGTCATTTGGGTCTGTGGTTCTGATGAAACTTGGGATGTCCCTCAATCGGATACCTCTCATGCCTGGTATCCAATCTATCTCAGTATCCAAATACCCATTTGTCAAATAGCTAGGATCTGCAAATCAAATTAAGAAATTGTACCAGTGAGTTAACATTCTAGTTAAATATGTAACATTTTTAGTACAAAGTCAGTGTTCCCAAATGACTACTCAGAAATTTGAAGTATGTGTATGTACCTTTAAGAGGCATTAAGCCTTTTTCAATGAGAGGGCCATACTGTAGGTAGCACATCAAGCCACAAGCACTTAGTGTCTCAAAAATAACTTCCGGAATGCCCAATTCTTGGGCTGCATCAAGAGTGAAGGTCATGCCACCATCAGAAACTATACAAGTAACTGGCGGGGAATCAGGCAAAGAATTGAGCTTTGACAAAAGGTCTCTGAAGGGTGCTAAGCAATTTTTACTAGTGGAAAGGCATAGAGCGGTTATGTCTTGGGTGGCATTGGCATCTGTTGGAGGGAGGCCATCGGGAATGGTTTCAAACCTAAAGGATGGGACGCCATCAAGAGATTTGGGACCTCGGGATTTAAGCAGGCGTCTGTGATTGAACTCTGTGTGCACAAAGGTAATGTGAAAGCCCTTGTAATGGAGGAGTTTGGCTAATTGAAGCATTGGTGTTATGTGACCTTGAGCTGGGTATGGTATGCAAACTGCATGTGGCTTCTCTGTCAAACCAATAGAACCCATTCTCACAAATAAATTTGGACAAAACTAATGAAAATGGGATATGGTTGTGGAGAAGAGAAGCCTGTTGCAGTACCAGTTTTATAGGAAAGAGAGAAAAGGGATCAATCACTTAGTAAACTTTCAAGTCCAATAAGTCACAGTCCATGACGAGGTTTTATAATGTTTTGGACGGCAGTCAATAATATTCGATTTTGTATTCTTGCCCGTACTCTGTTTGGCATGCAATCATTTATGTTTGTTTATTTGTTTTGATTTGATAATTATGTGTTCTATATTGAAGAGTTTTGGGGTTTGTTTTTGTTTTTTTTTTACACCTTTTCTTTTGGTATGCAACAAGTCTCGGAGTATAAACAGAAAACACCAATCACTGAGTTTCTCCTAAGAATGCAAGGTATGTTGTATGTCAACATGTTTCGAATTTGGGTTTAACTAGGCCAAATACAAAGCAGCAACCAGGTAGAATTTTGATCAATTCTAATTTCTGTATGCGTGCATGGCCTTATGCTGAACCAAATAAACAGCCAATCCACTCTCCTTTCTATGATCGACTTGGCACTCGTAGGACCGTTCGTTCACCCCTTGAAGAAAAAGAGTAGCTGTAATTTGGTCCATCTGATCTGAGAACGTAAGATTAAAAAAATGGCAGCAAAATCTTGGAGAGCAGATTGAGTTTTC